TAACGGGCACCCAGCCCCCCCCCCCCCCCCCCCCGCAGTGCGATCAGCCACCGAGGACCGCATGGTAATACAATGCCTTGCGTTTCTAGTGCGGTACGATCGCAGAAAATGGTGCATGCACTATTTTGTGCAATCGTACTGCACTGGAACACAGGGCATTGTATTACCACACGGTCCTGTACGGCCGATTGCACTGTGAAAGGGTGTCTGCAGTGCCATTGATGTGGATGGCACTGTCACGCCCCCTCTCACCCCAGAACACAAGGAGACCTTGTGCATGTGATCCGGGCACGTGACAGTGCGATGAGCGCACGGGCTGGTGGAAATAATCCCTAAGACCAGGCCGAGGTCCTCAAAGTGTTGGGAAGGTTTCAGTTCTAATTTTTGGAAAGTGAGGATCCATCTGAAGCTCTGTAATGCCGGCATTGTCGGCAGAACACAAGAAGACAGGACTGATGCAGACTGCTCCTAGAGGAACGGATCATTCAAATACCCAACCATGGGGATCCCCTGGGATTGTGTGCCTTGCTGCACCATGGGGATCCCATGGGTTTGCAGCAAGGCACCTAGGTGAATACCCTGGGTGCTGTGGATAGACAGAACGGAAGAGCTACACATTGGAAATGACAGGTACAAAGCTCAGAAAGTGACAGTAGGCAGGAAAAATGGGTATCTGTAAGTACACCTCCTTGATGTCCACTGAGGCCAAAAAATCTCCCAAATGCAGGGAGGCAATGCCAAAGTGGGTTGATTCCATCTGGAACTTTGAACCCATAGGACCCAAATGAGGACGTTCAGGTCTAGGATAGGGCTTACACCTCCTTCATTTCCGCCTCTGGAATGGTGATGATTACCCCTTGAGAGAAGCTGATCTACAGCAGTGAAGTGATCTGCTCACCTTTGTGGAGCTTTGGTCTGGTTTGTTGGCAGAAAACAGGAAGGAAGCAGGGAATAAAACTCTAGTTTGTAGTCCTGTTAACCACACTCTGGACACAAGGGGTCCGGAATGTTCCTTGCGCAGTGAGCCAAAAAGGCTGAATAAGTGGGGCAACCCTATATAAGGTAGAGAGCTTGTTTATCCCAGGGGGGGTTAGGGTGGGCTTGATCAAGTCAGGGGAGACTTGATCCAGTCCCCCTCCACAAACCCCTGCAGCGACAGATCTCTCTTAGTAGCTACCACAAAGTTTGTCAGCATAATGTAGTAAAGGGGAGGGCACTGACACAACATTTGTTAAATCCTGGATAGTGTTCAGCATATCATCTTGTTCCTTAAAAAAACAGTTATGCCGAAGTGAGAGAGAAACAATGATTGGTCCCTCATTTACAGTGAACTCTAAACTATTCATTATTTTGGGTGCCATCATTTTCTTGCTGTTTCCTAAGCACACACAGTTTTGAGGTTTGACATATTTGGTATTAATTTGCTCAATACAACCTCGTCTTTTATTTTGTACCAGAAATTAATTTTTATATGTTTGTGTGAACTAAAATTCCTTTTAAAGTATTTTTTTTAACCAAAAACATAGATTTGATAAACAGTTGTGCAAATATCATGCAACATATAAACACAATAACATGATTTCTTCAGTAAAATGGGTAAGGGTTAGAACCTCTGTCAGGTTATTTTAGTTCATGCTGCCCTGTACATGTGAAAACAAGACAAGAAACGGGAGCAGTTGTCACTGGGACAGGGCAACACAAACTGACCTGACCTGCTCTGTCCCAGCGATAACTGCTCCCCTATATCTTGTCACAGGTACAGAAGAGGTTAATCCAATAAAAAATGATATTTACTAAAAACAAACAAAACATTTTTGGAGTTGGACGTTAAAGCTAACCCCAGATAGAAGTTATTTTGCATACTCACATTGGTCCAGCTTGGCCCAATGTAAATTGCATATGTCATACCCGATTGGCTGCTGGGGATCCTGTTAATCACTGTAGTAGCCAGACCGACTGCACTGCTGGCTGCGATCTTCCGAGTTCTGTACAGTTCTGTGCTGCTGTGAAAATACAGTAGGTCGCTCGCTCGCTCAGTACAGTGGCCATTCAGAGAGCGCCTAGTATTTTTTATCAATGAATTGATTGGACAAGGGGGCGGATCAGTGGCAGATGAGGTATGGCATATGCAATTACACTAGGCCAAGGTGGACAATGTAACTATGCATAATAATTGATACTTTAACGAAGACACGTTTAAAAACTAAAATCTCTAGGCATCTATAACCCTAGAGATTGTTTCTCCGCGTGTCGTGTCTGTATTAGACATGGACACACGGCCGCATTTCAGTTACTTGGGCTGTGTAACTTGCATAGCTTGCCATCTAGTGGTCACCAAGTGACTAGAAGAAGCAGTGACACAATTCTTACATATGTATGCACGAGCACATTTATTTTATGAAACATTCTTCTCGGGAATAATTGATACATTGGGGTAACAATACCAAATTCTGTATCTTTGAACAATTGCCGCTTCAGAGACTTCTGAGTTCATATGCACCTTGTAGATAATCCTTGGGCACGATACCGACAATACCATCTAACTCTCCAACCCACCAGCCATAGGCATTGTACTCCTATAATGAAGCATATAGATTAGTAAAAATAATAACAGCATAAATATCAGAAAACATAAGAGCCCGCTCACACCAGCAGGCGTGTGTAGGGGTGGTGCATAGAATGTGCCGTGTAGGGGTGGTGCAATGCGTTGCAAACACAATGTTTAGATTTTTTCTTTTTAACCTTATTAAAAGTTGACAAAAATCTTTCAAATATTTGCACAGTGTGTTGCACTGCGTGAAAATGCAGACATGCAGCATTTTTTAGGCAAAGCACCTTTATGGTGCGAACAAGACACATAGAAAAATATTGTTTTCTATGTGACTTTGCGATCATTGCAGATCAACAAACATGGTGTGAACGAGCCCTAAATCTAGTAGAAGCAATAGAAATCATATACTCATATAAGTAACCATATACTGTATACTGGTCTCTGCTGGTATTTACTGGCATACAAAGTACATACTGTATAAAGAGGCTCCACGGTAAAAGAATACATATACGCCACTCCAAAAAGACAGTGGAGTTTTGATTACATGCCAGACTTGGAAGGAGATGTGCAACGCGTTTGGTTTTAAAGCACTACAAGGCTTTGGTGAACCAGAACACCAACCCACAGGGGTGTCATTGCAACACAAAAAGGAAAAAAGGACCCCTCAGCACAAATTCGAAAGTTCAACTCAAGTATTTTAGTGTTGACACCGCCCATACCCCCATCCTTTACCAAACCTTAATATTTTATCCTTTATTTGAGCCCAACAACAAAATCTATAATCTAAATTAGAATTTACCTTAACCCTAAAACGTACCCTTAATTAATTACAAAACTGATTCTGCAAAAAGGATATGGTACATACAAGTGCAAAATGCAACAATGGATTAACGTGTTTAATTACCAATGGCACAAGTCAGACAAGCAAAATAGGAGTGTTGGAAGCTTTTTTGTCAAATGTTTTATTTATTCAAAAAGAGCACGAGAAACCGCTACAAACCTCAGCTGGTAAAGTAGTGTCAAAATATCCAAAAGAAGCAACAACATACATATAACAACCAACAAAATGATACAGACACATTTCCAGGAGTGGGACCCCTCAGCTCCCCATCTTCGATAGCTGGAAAAAGTCAACTGGGTAGCTAAGAGTTTGGGTAACTCGTACTCTCATAGAACTGACAATATACAAAGAAGAGACAAACTAGAGAAATGATAAACAAGTAGAGCAGTTCCATAGAGAGGGAAGAGGAGGGGAAATAGAGGGAAAAATGGGGAGTTTGGAAGAGGATCCAAGTGCATAGTAAGCTCCAGAAGCCCTGGGAAAATACAGAAAAGAAGGCAAAGATGGAAAAAGGAGAACAGAGGGAAGACAAACCCCGTTTCAGGGCCTGAGTGACCCCAGCTCCAAACACAGAGCACCCACAGCACATTCAAAACCAATCCTAACACCCCAATGAAGGGGAGTAAGTACTGTATGAGTGAATTTCAAGAAGTCTGTGAATCTGATCCACGGATATCATGTAATAATAAGTGTATCCTGTTTACTGTAAAAGGAGGCCATCAAATCGTCCATTAGTCTGATCTCCTATAATCTATGAACCCACATTTCCAGGGAGGGAGGGTTGCTCTGCTTCCACATAGCAGGTATATACGCCCTTGCAGGATTTAGTAGGTGGATCAGCAAAAAGTTTTTATATGACTTAAACGAAGAATTAGGATGAAGGTGGAAGGTAGCCAGGCACATGGGTAGACGAATACCCAATATTTTAAAAATAGTCAGCTATCTGTACCCAGAAGGGACGAATAACAGGACACTCCCAGAACACATGGAGTATGCCAGGATTTTCATTACAGCACCAACACAAAGTAGATGTCCAGGGCAAATGTTGTGTAAAATGGTCGGTACCCTATACCACCTTGTCAGTATCTTGTACCCAGTCTCTTGAATCCTGTTTGAGATAAAGGACTTACAAGCAAAATATAGTATATGCTCTGACTGCTGTGCTGTGAAAGCTATCGCCAGATCTCATTCCCACTGGTGCATAAAGGGAGAGGGGGAAGAGCCAAAGCGTCAATGATAGCATGCAATGTCAAGCCGCAGTTTCTAAAGCAAGCAAAATACTTTCTTGTATTATAGGGGGTCTCTAGACTTCAGAGATAGAGACATAACCCTGCCCCTGTACAAAGCATTAGTAAGACCTCATCTGCAATATGCAGTTCAGTTTTGGGCACCAGTTCACAAAAAGGATGTTGTGGAACTGGAGAAAGTGCAGAGAAGGGCAACTAGACTGATAAGAGGCATGGAGGAGCTAGAAGTCACCCCCACCTCCAGCTGGAAAGGTGGGGGGCAAAATTTCATATGGTAGAGAAATGCATCTCTTGGGAGCTTGGAGTGTCAGGGACGCTTGACCCTTGTGGAGGTAGAGGGCTTAAGAGACTCAGATCCCTTGTCGAAATTTCCTTGCAAACAAAAAAAATGTCTATGGGCTGAAAATGAAGGGTCAGGTTTGCAATGAGTATCCTTCACCTTCTTAAATTGAGACAAGACGGTAGCCTTTCTTAATGATCCAGCAAGCATTCTCCACCTATTTAACCTTAGCCTTGTTTAAACGGGAAAATTAAGCATTTACTGCAGGCAGAGACACCTACATTTCAAGTAAGCTCATTCCGTGAAGAATAACACACTGTAAAATGCTGAGGTAATATAAGCTACGTTGGTTGCTTCCACTCTTTTAGATACAATCATCAAAAAAGATTGGTAGGTAAAAACTTTAGCAGAAAGTTTCATGCGTACCACAAAAAAAAAGCACATTAGACGCCATGGTGGGGGAATCCACATCGCTAAGTGTACCCATTACCGTTTTAATTAGCCAATAACTGAGTTGTTCCCATGTGGAGGGGTTTTATCCACCAGCAGGGGCTTCCCCTGGGCTGTCTGGTTTTAAGTTGTGCCTAGGTTCCAACTCCAGAAGGTGAAGCTATGCCCAGTTTGTGATTATCTAAAGAACTGTGTCCTCCAATAATTTAAAGATAAATATTTGATTTCCTTAGCAAGGAATGGATAGTGGTGGTTGTGGGGGAAATTAGGAGTTGATGGGTGGAAATGGATGTTGATGTGTGGAGGTATGGTAGCTGATGCCACCCTTCTGGGGAAAGAACATTTGGTGAAACAAGTAGGCAGAGAATGCGTGAAATCTAATCTTAGGTGTCACAGGACAGCATGGACAAGTGTGATGAAAGTTGAGATATAAAGTAAAAGCCAGAATATCAGAGTGAAAGAAGGGTTTGTGTTATGGAGAACAGCTGAGAGAAAGCTAAGAGACTACAGGAGGGGGAGCAAGACATAGGAGTTTAAAAATGGAAGAGAGAGGACATTTGTGATGGCGAGCAGTGGCGTCGCTACAGGGGGGCAATTGCCCCCCCAAGGTTCTTACTTGCCCTCCCGCTAACAGTGGCGGATCGGGGTGACGTCACCCTGCAGCTACACTCCGACTCTGCTGCTTGTGCGGTGCGGCCAGCCCAGCCAGAGCGGCGGAGGGAGAGACTATTTTCTCGGGGGAGGGGGAACTGGGCAATTTTCAGCACTCCCCCGCTGAGAAAATGGTCTCTCCCTACGCCGCTCTGACTGGGCTGGCCGCACCGCACAAGCAGCAGGGTGCACAGGTCCCACGACGTCACGACGTCCCCGTAGGCGGTTCCACAGCATGTAGCCGCGGAATTCGAAGTAAGTTACGTCCCTCTGGTCGGCTACCGAGGCACACCGCTCTCCATCCTGAAAAAAAAAAAGAAAAAGCTACTTACCTTACCGCTCTCCATCCTGAGTTCCAGGTTGACAGGCTGCAATCTTTCTGACTCCTGCCCTTTGGGGCTACACACTGACCTGCTCTCCAGCACCATCCCTTGTCTGGAATTACAGAAGTCTGCTTACTGCAAGTATACCTTTTGAGTTGCCAAAGTTAACCCTTCACTGACATTGCTGGGATTGCTGTTATTTGTAAATGGTTCAAGTACTGTTGCTATTGGAGTTTCATTTAACCACTTGAAGTCCGTGGTGTTAAACCCCCTTCCAGTCCCGGCCATTTTTGAGTATTTAGCGCTGCGGTACTTTGACTGACATTTATTCCGTCATGCAGCGCTGTACTGAAATGAATTTTATACAATTTTTTGGGGACAGATAGAGCTTTCTTTTGGTGGTATTTATTCACCACTGGGGTTTTATTTTTTAATATATTAAGGAAAAATTACAGAAAAAAAAATAAAAAAAACAGTTTCCCCTATATTAAATGATAAAACATTTATTATTACCCAATTTTTTGCTAAAATATAAAAGACGGGGTCATGTCGGGTAAATAGACACCAAACATGTCAAGCCTTAAAATTGCACACGCGCACAAAACCAATTGTCATTTTCACACGCTGGCGCATCGGTGGGGGACTTAAACATTTTGTTTAAAAAAAAAAAAAACTTTTTTATATGTCACTTTTATTATTTTTTTACACTTATTGTTACATAGTTACATAGTTAGTTAGGTTGAAATAAGACACAAGTCTATCGAGTTCAACCTATAGAGAAAAAAAAAAAAAAAGAAAAGCCTAAACAGAACACTATGCCCACAATTACCCCCTGTTGATCCAGAGTAAGGCAAAAAAAACCCTATAAAGCATGGTTCAATTTGCTTCAGCAGGGGAAAAAAATTCCTTCCTGATCCCATAAGGCAATCGGATATTCCCTGGATCAACAATCTCTGATGCCTAATATACCTATAATAACTCAATATCCAGTAATATTCTGTGCATTTAGGAATACATCCAGATATTTTTTTAAACAATTAACCGAGCTCCTGGGGGAGTCTATTCCACATTTTCAGAGCTCTAACTGTGAAGAATCCTTTCCTTATGCAAAGGTTAAACCTCTTTTCCTCCAGACGCAAAGAGTGCACCCTTGTCCTTTGCAATGACCTTAACGTGAATAATTTGGCACCAAGCTCTTTATATTGACCATTTATGTATTTATACATTGTGATC